AAGGGTAAACAACTCTTATTTTTGCATTGTAAAATTCTGTACCAAAAACACTGTTTATAAAGCATTTTAATTTGCTTAATTAACATTATTGAACATTGAAATTGCGCTTAGCTCAGCTAAATATTCTGAGCGGTTTAATCTTGATAATTTGTATGATACCTATATAAATGTTTTTTTTTTGTTGTTGTTTTACATCATTTTTATCACCTTTTGTATAGCTTTGTTAGCCTTGTGCCATACATCTAAAATTAAATGTTTGTGAAGGAGTGAAATTTTATTCAATCAGCCGACCTCATATAAACAGTTCCTGATCGATTTTCAAACTTATTCAACTTTCACCTCTGCAACAGTATTATTGCCCGGCTCACAATTCTCCCTGGTCTTTTGAACAGTAGAGGTTTATCCTCTATTTCGTGTTTAGGATTTCCTTTCTGGTTCCTTCTGAAGTCTTTCCATTCTATTTCACGCCAAGTAACCTCTTGCGTCTTAGTGGCATTATGGCCTTCCTTGGAGCGAATTGGTTAAAAAATGAACGAAGACAGCAGGCGTTCTTCGGCTTCGAGCTCTTTGTGAACTTTGACAACAGAAGATCGTGCAACTTTCAGGAAGCAAGCAATCTCTTAAGCGCTATACTCTACCTTTAAGGCTATGACTACAGCGTGTGCCTTTTCATTCTCTGAGTTAGCTTGTCAGCATTTAACTGAAAAGAAATGAAAATCAGAAGTTAGAAACATTAGAGCTATTAAAAGACGTGTCCTTAAAGAATTGGTCAACCCTATTCCACACATCTAGTGAACGTAGAGTATTTATACATATTCTTCATCTAGCAGTTTGTGCTTATTTCATTTTTTGGTTGGAATTTTTTTTTTTTTTCGCTTAAAAGATTCTCATATTTTTTTGCATCTTTGTACTGCGTTTAAACTTGTCAACGTAGATAAACGAAGACTGAACCTTGAAATAATAACGTTCCACCTTTAATACCACTTGATATTTCAAACCGCCTGACGTGTTGCTGGAGTCAATACAAGCGTTACCAGAAATATTCTCGAAAATGCCCTATTCACTGCTTCTGATTGATGGTGGAGCCCTTCTAAAAACAGTCAAACTGCATGAGTTATATTTATATTTGTAAACGACTGTGCTTGTAAGTACGTGAATAGAAAAAGAGAAAAAAAATTCCACCTTTCGGATATTTTACAAATATGCGAATATACTTTAGTAGGAAAATGTGCGTGACGCCAAGGATTTGGTTGCTTTGCCAGTCTTACATTCAAAGTCCTAACCATTATCTAAACTCAAACTCTGACTAATGACGCTGGTGGAGACCTTCAATCATCTCAGTCATCATATAAGATATAAATAACTTAATTGTGATGACAAATATCAAGATACTTCAGGAAATGAAAAGGCATGCTGTGATCGTTGCCTTGAAGGAAGTGCTATAGGGATTGCTTGGTCGTTTTTTGTCAAAGTTCGCAAAGAACTGAAAGCCGATGACGGGGGTTTCTACAATAGTAGCCAATTGTAGAACGTCTGTGTATAAGAAGGAGTTTTTCTTTCATCCAAAATCATGTCCAAAAGTTTAATGCGTCTTATAATTTAGTTTACAACTCATTATTTCAAAACGGACAAAATCGGGTCAAATTGGATTTATTTCTTTACACGAGAGAAAATATCTATATTGTACTGCGTGTTGCAACAATGGGGGAATAAAACTTATATGTTTCCCTAAGTCCCGTATTGTTCCAGATATTTCCTTCGGTCTAGATACCGAGCAACAAATGTATATTTATTCAATTTTATTTACATTTATGTTTTCAATGTGTTTTTGCGATTTAGTGGTTTTATACCGGTTGTAATCTAGGGAAGGTTACTGAATAGAATAATCACACGAAGGTTGGTAATGAATGATAATACTTAGGACAAGAACAACACATATAAGATTTGCCAGCGGCGCGTAGATGTAGTCAACTGCTAGCAGGGTTCCAAGGGAATTCCACAATGAATCTCCAACTGCAGGATATTTACCAACCACTCCATGCGATCAGATGTGGCACAAGGCCCAATTCAATGTGGGGCATCCGAGCCCGTAGGCTCGGCCAAACATTCCTCGTAGACCCCGTATAAAACAGGGTCGGATAGCTCTTTCCCGACACGAGAACTTGCCCTTCCACATAACCTCGTCTAGGGATCCTCTCTGCCCGGAGACAGAGAGTTTGACCAGCACAGCCGGAGACGAATCTCCAACTGCAGACCAACATACAGTATTTACTACTATATTTATGTGAATGTGGATATATCCATTATCGTCCGTAGGTATGCCACAACAATACCCCAACAGATATTATCAAGTTTTTTAAATGCTTACGAATCATAGAAATAAACAAAATATCCTTCTTTTTCCATTTTTTTTCTCTTCCTTTTTTACAAGTTTTGGTCATTTTCTCTACTCTAAAATTACACATTAAAATAAAACCCCACTGCAATTTCTCTGCTTTTTCTAACTGCGTCTCATAGACCCTGGCGATTTATACACAAATTTCTTTAATCGAGCTAGATCGTACATTCACGGTCCTGTATCACGGTCGGAAGGTCATTAGGGAGCCATCATGTGTCATAACGTAATGGAAGTAGTTGTTGAGTGATCAACCCATCTTGCGCCATGGCTAGGTGTCCAGAGCTGTAGACCGCTCGCAAGTTCTTTGTTTTGCTCGCCAGCAATGCCCTGCAAAGCGAATTCTACGTTCGCATAAGATTGTAAAAATATCTATAGAATAGAGCTGAGATTTAGTTGGATTGTCTCCAAGAGATGCTAAGTTTAGTCCTCAGTATCCGAGTGTAAGTT